AAATGGGTCAAACATTGTTTCCCCATTCGACAAATCGTACTAATGAAAAAATAATTATAATAATCATCATTTTTTGTTTCCAATGTCTAATCTATAAATAAAGTTTCTCGGTTAAAAGTTAAAAGCGTTAACAAAGCTTACCAAATTTATTGTAAAAGAAAAGGAAAAAAAAAAAAGTCAGTGAGCGTGCATAAATGCGAACGGAGGGATTTCATTGTCTTCCTTTTTTTCTCTCTCCCTCTTTTTTTTATACGCGATAACACACGCATTCTCGAAGAGTTAAAACGTGGATCAACGTGAATCCATTTGATATCACACTCTTTTCTATTCAGATAAATGAGAATTTCATTTCTCTAAGCTTGGGAGTCATTTTCTTCCTTCAAAACGAAATCAAATTCGAATCTACAAAATCTTATTATTTATTCTATATTCGTTTATTTGTTTCCTGCATTAATAATAGGCTTTACATTTGTCTTATTATTTTCTTCGATTCTATTCAAATATCTTAGTTTTATCGTTTTTTTTTTTTTTTTTTTTACGAACACGAATTAGATTTGTTTTTTTTTTTTTAAATACTTTACCAACCGCGAGAATAAATTTATATATTAATTTTTGTAGCCCTGTATTTTTGACGAATAAGTGCAGAAAAATTTAAATAAAATGATATTAAATAACGGTTAAATATAATATTTTTTTTTATTTTTCTTTCCTTCGTTTCTTTTTTTTCTTTTTTTTTATTATTCGTTCATGCTCCAGATAATAAAAATGATCGAACGTAAAATATAGCCCGAGGAAAGGACCAAAGAAATAAAAAGCAAAGTACAAAGAATGCGTCGTACTCGAAATTCGCTGATAAAAAAAAAAAGGAAAACAATTGTTTCGTTATATCCGATAGAGAAAAAAAAAAAGCACACACCCTTCGGCCCTTATTCGCGTATTATCTTTGACAAAACTTAGAGATATCTTATTTGTTAGACATAGTATATATCGTAAAATCAAGTGACATAAGAAGCCTAAAAAGATTATTACGCGTCGTTGAGTTTGTGTTTGCTGATACCATCGAATTCCATGGGGGAATCAAGAAATTCTGAGATAAACGAGGGAAAGAACACTGAAGGGGAAGATCTTCGAAGTATTAGGTTGTCCCATAGATTCTTTCCGTACCATGCTATGTATCTTTTCGTGCCGGTTATGTTTGTAATTATGCAGGCTTAAGATAACCATAAGAAACATTTACGGTATTTCCACCTCTTCATCCTCTTTCTAAATTAAAATTTTTCAAGCTCATTTGTCAATCCAATTGCAACTCACTTTTATCAATAACACATTGATCTTTATCGTGATAAACGCGAAACACGCCAATGTATAAACACTAATATTTATATATGTGCCATTTTTTAACATATTTCCTTGTTTTTTCACTTTTCTTTTTCGATATAATCGAATTTCAATATGTTCTCTATCGATACACGACTATTTTTCTTCTCTTTCAAAGTTCGATTATATATATATTGTCGTCGTAAAAATACAGTATGATGTATTCTTATGGGGAAAAAAAAAAAGAAAGAAATACAAATTATATTTAAACCGTGACATTTTTCTACGATTATTTTAACACTTTACACGGGCCCGCGTAAATTTAAAGTCGCATACTCCAATAAATGAATTTATTATATATATATATTGTTTTAATCTAAAATTATTTTTAATATTCCATAGAGAGACGACGCGAGTTTTTTTAAGGGCCATCGGTATGTTTGAATAACTATGTGTTTATTTTTAATTTGAATTTGTACAATTAATAATATAAACTATTAAAAAATATTCTATAGAGAGAGAGAGAGAGTACTAGTGAATTTTTTGTCAGTTTTTTTTATTTTTTATTAACAATAACATTGAAAATCTACGTTGCCGTTGGTGAATTAAATTTTATTTTCTCACGGGGAAAAAAAAGAATCAAACAATAAATGAGTTAACGAAAGGATTCGTATGATCTTTTCTAAATCATTCTCGATTCCTTATCTTTCGATTATTTAAACCGCGAAACAATTTTGATAGCATGCTATGGATAAAAAAAAAAGAAAAAAGGGTTAGGGAAGAACTGATGACTATAAAAAACAAAACAAAAAAGAATCCTAGTTGCATTTAAACGTTGACACCCGTTGCGTCTGACTCGACAACGATTAATCTACTGCTGCGTATGCACGTGCATTGACTAACGATTGATCGATTTATCAAACCTTTTCATCGATCTTTTTTATGTTCAATATTAATAAACATTATAATAGAATGTCATCTTTTTTTTTTATATAAAAGTGTATCAATAGAATTTACAAATACAATTAACATTGAGTATTGCAAATTTCAATTTGCAAAATTTTTCTGATATTATGATCTTCTCTTCAAATGTGTTATTATTTTTATTGTTAATAATAATTCACCACGAGATCGCGGCATCGTATCATCAAAAAAACGATAATCTCGAGAATAGGATAAAAATAATAACAATTAATATGAATTAAATTGCATATTAAATCAAATATTACAAACGCGATATTACCAGCAATTTCATGTATGAGGTTAACTCATTTCCGTTGCTATTATGGTGAGAATATTGGATTGGCAACTAAGTGATGGAGGATTTGTTGGTTGACAACTAAATGAGTGTGGTCACTTTTAACAAAAACCTATTGAAAACACAAGTCCCCGGGGACCTGTTTTTATATTTTTATATTTTTCCTCCTTCTTCGACTCGCGTAAAAATTCACGCAGGCTTTTCGAATAAAATTGAATGTTTCCTACACACGTTTTTATTTTTTTAGATGCATGTTTCATCCATTGTCACATACCGATGCAAGAAATCCTTTTTGCATGATATATTTTGTAAAAAGAAATATTTGAAGAATAGGATTGTAGACGTGACGCGATGCCAAAGATTTCGTTGATAATAATACATCATGATAAAGTCGAGAAAAGGAATGAAAATCGTCGAAATAATCCTTAGTGCGCGGATGAAGTTAGTATAATAATCGATTCGAGAGAGTTCATTTCCATAATCCACGTGAATCCACTAGAAGGGGTGGCATTGCTAAGAATTTAATTGACGCAAAAGACATTTCCCATCTTTGGGAAAAAAAAAATTGTGTAAAAAAGGTAGTTTGATTTGCATAGAGAACGAATTTCGTTTAATTATCAAATAGCAAAGATAATAGTAAACGACACGTTTTCTTATCCTCATACATACATATGTAATTACAAATTTTTGTATATGTTTTATCATATGTTAATCGAATGCATTCGTATATTTTTACGTGTGTTTATATTTTCTTTTTGGTTGTTTTTTTTTATCCTTTCGTGTTTCATTTAGAAATGCAAAATCGTTCGAAAATTCGAATAACGAAAATTCTCGTTTACAATTGCAATAGTAGATAGATAAATCGATGAAAACGTATTAACGATGATTCTACGATTTTCTTATCTTCTCGTAACACGCGTGAGATAGTGACATCAATTTTCCATTAGAAATATTTTTGCCTAAGACCTCCAGCAAAGTCCGATTAGTGTTAGTTCATTTCGAAATCTCATCGGAGACGCATCTTCTTCCTTCGAATAATTTAATGTAGCGCTATACATATGTAAATGAACGTTTATTGTCAAACAAAAAGAATCAAAAAAAAAAAAACACACACACACACACACATACATCAGAATTTTTATCGAGTAACGTTGAACGTGTAAGTAAATCAAAAAATAATAAATGTTATCTCTCTTAATTATTGTAAAACATGAAATAAAAAAATAATAATAATAATAATAAATAAAAAAAGCCGACAAATATCTCGATCGACGTGTCATTCAATATCAGTTTTATCAGGTCATTCGATTGTAAAAATTTCTTTAACATGTTGGTGGGTAGTTATCGTTTAACATTATCTCGATGTGTGATAATTTACATACGCAACGTACGCTAAATTACAATGTAAAACTTGTCAATTAATAATATAAGTTTAAGAATAGATTCCATACAGCAGTCTGGTATGAATCACCATCTCAATTTATCAGACTCGATTAAAAAGTTAACAAGAAAGACAAAAATAACATATAAATCATTGAGAAAAATAAAGCAACGTTGATCATAACGTTTCATTGACTACGAACTCACGATGAAAGGCTTTTCTCGATAATGGAACAATCGATTGTTCGATTATATCAGTCGTAATACGAAAGATAAGAATGGGATTGATTTTTTAGGGGATTTATTTTTTTAGAAATTCTATAAGGAACAACAAAAAAATTTGAAGAAATCCTTTCCTTTAAGAATAGTTCTCTTTTTAATTATTTTCTTTCTAAAGAATATCATTTTTTTCTTGTCTGAGATAAAATTAAAATAGACAGGTAACGAGAGAGAGAGAGAGAGAGAGAGAGGGAAAAATGTAAAAAGAAAAAAATAAATAAATAAAAAAACCGTCACGTTTTGCCATTATTTATTTGATATCTTCGCACGCCAGTTCTGTCATTTAATTTCTAAACCATTCTATCTTTTTAATCATTCCCTTTTCCGCGCTACTAATTATGATTACAAACAAAGAACGGATCTAAAATAAAAGAATGACTGTGTATAGCAATTAAAAGAACTATAAAGACTATACTCGTACTATCGATTAAATGATTAGTCCATTTCAAAGAGGACAGGAGTGAGGAGTGTGGGCCAACTTTAAAATTAAAAAAAAAAATTAAAAAGGAGGTACACAAATAGAAAAATAAATAAATAGATTTATTAAATAATTCCAGAGATGATCTATAAAGAAGACTTGAAAAGTTTTGAGCCTTTAGTAACTTTGAAATAAACAAAAAAATACGAAATAGTACCCCCCAACCTCCCCACTCTGATTCTCAACATTCTTCTCTCTCCTCTTATGTGTGTGTGTGTGTGATCTCGATTTAAATATATTTTTAATATATTATAATACATTTTATTATTATATATTTTCTTTTTCTAGATAAACTTTCTAGATAAATATTTTCGATCTATATTCCGTGAACGTATAAGGATGATCTCGATAACTATCATCCTAGTAACATCGGCATTGATTACTATGACGCATTCTGCGCCAATTGAACATCTTCAAAAGGAAAACGGTGATCTTCCGGAAGTACTTTGGCTAATTAATCAACAAATGCCAGAATTGGAGGTGAGTTTATTAGTATAATTAAAAATGGAAACAAAAAAATGTGTATTAGGTATAGAATAGCAAAAGAGAGTAAAATATTCTAAGCCCAAAAAATTATTTAATATAATATAATGATAAGATATAAAGAAATATATTGCATACGTAAACATTGATAAAAAAAGAGAATGGATTAAAAAATTGTATATTACTATGAGATAAAAATAATTTGATTAATAAAGTATTATATTTTAATATAAAAATGATCGATAAGAGAGATATCAAATAATAGCCGTAACATTGCACAAACGTTAACACAATGAAATGTCTATTTATATATTTTAAAATACATATATATGTAGTTTCTAGATAAATTTCTATATATTATATATACGCTTTTATAATAAAACATAGTCTAGGTTGAGTTTACATTATGAATTGTGTTGTTAATGGACGACCAATCGACAAGCCAACTCATCTTTATCTTCTATATCCATCTCTCTCTTTCTCTTACTTTCACTTGCATTTAAATGTATTGCATCATTGTATGTCAATGCAAATAATAGCTTGGTTTTGAACAATATTATAAAGCTTAGTAACTATAGATCTCTCTCATTTTCAATAATGGCATTATGTAATCCGTTTATCTTCAAAATTACAATTCCCCATTGAACGTTTAAATAGAAATTTACCCCCTCCTCCCCCGCCCCATTAAAAATAAATTCGAAATATAAGATAATCACGATGCAACATATTTTCGAAAGATTTGTTAATATTAAAAACATAAAGTAATAACTGTGCTAATTTTTTCCTCAACAATTTCTCTCTCACGTCGTATAAGAAGAGAGGCATGATAAAAGAAAATGAAAAAAAAAAAAAAGTGTGGTGAAAGTAAAATTTAAAGCACGTGAAGAAGTGGGCTTTTCAAAAAAAAGAAACCTCGCGCGCGCATTTTCTTTCAAATTATTGCAACGTTTCTTTATTTTTTTTTTTTTTTTTCTAAACTCGCATTCCTGTATCATCCCTCTTCGAGATAAAAATGTAAAAAATGTGTTTACACGTAAAAAACGCAAAGAAGATAATAAAAAATAGACGCGTATTAAAAACTCTTTCAATCGGTGTGTTAATTGAAGTTAAGAAAATAATTGACGATGTAATTTAAATTTTATAAACGATAAAAGAGAGAATACAAAATCGGATTAGTTTAAAAGTTAACCAACCTGCTCTGTGGGTTAATTTTTTATATGAAAAAAAAAATAATGAAAGATAGAAAAAGAGAGAAAGAAAGAGAGGTGTTAGTTTGAGAAAGATAAAGATAAAAAAAGGACAGAGATTGGTGTAGAAGAGAGAAGTGAATACTTGATCGGTAACTGGAAGAAATTTTTCTTTTCCATCGTTTTTGTTTGTTTGTTTGTTTCCTTAGTTTGTTCTATCTCTTCTCACCACCCATCCACCCTTTTTTCTTTTTGTTTTTTTTGTCTTTTCTTTTTCGGCAAGTCAAAATAAAGTGCTCGTAAAAGGGATGAAAACGAAAGAACGAACAATATCATTCCTCCTCTCTTATCTATGCGAGAAAAGGTTTCTCTACAAATGAGAAAGGTCTCATAAAAGGCGTGCCATTATCATGATTGAAAGAAAAAATAAAAAAAGAAAAGAGAGAGAGAGAGGGATGATGGGGTTTCTGAGGTGTTGGTAGAAGGAAAAAAAGAAATGGAGAAAAGTGCGCGCGTGTTTCAATTTTGCGAGAACTTACTTTTGACGAATTATTTCCAAATTGAGATATTCGATCTTTTTCTTTTCTTTTCTTTTCTTTTTTATATTAACTCTAAACCACTTACCACGTGAGATCGAATGACACGCGTCCTGTAATTTATTAAAACAATAAATATACACATTATTTATTTTCTAAATATTAAAAATATTTTCTTCTTGGTGCTAATTCCAAATTAATTCAAATCTCATTTCATATAAAGATATATATTTTCTTTTTTAAAGTAAAATCACAGTCAAATGGATAGGTATAGGTAAAGTGTCGATAGGTTTAATATTATAATACTTACTTTTGACGTTTGTATGGTTTAATTGCAGAGGGAAATGTACGATTCCAGCAATGATCCCGGTCCTGCAACGATACTCAGAACAAAAAGAATCGGTTCGTTGTCGATCGTTAACAATCTCGATGTTCTTAGAGAAAGAATACTATTGGAATTAGCTCGTAGGAAAGCTATGCAAGATCAACGACAAATCGATGCTAACAGATTGATGCTTGATAAAATTGGTAAAAGATCATTACCAGTTTACGAGGATTATTCGTCATCTTCTCATCCTCGTAATTTGGATAGGATCTACGATTGGGTTGGGGAAAGTGGATCGATTGTTGGTGATCGTCATAATGATCAAGAACGCAGGGTTTGTTCTCATATTCTTTTAAGTAATATCAATTTATTTTAACAAGATATCACACTCACCTATTAAAAAAGAAACATAAAAACAAATGCTCTTATATACTATTTAAATATTATATATATTTTCTTTTTTATTTGTTCTTAAATTAATTGTCAATGACACATTCGATGTTTCAAATAATTGATTATACCTAATTGATAATTTTTATGCTTATAGGTAGCAAGCAACGAACTCCTCTGGTAGTAACCATAACGCGAAAATCAATTGAAGAAGAAACCTATCAAATTCTAGATTTGGCATTATCGCTTTTACAAATTTTAACGAGCCGCATTATTTCCCCTTTTTGATCTCTACCCCACCCCCACCCCCCACCCCCATATCCACGTTATTATAAAAATTCTTCTTCTTATAGAAAAGCTTTTACCGATCACATTTATCCGTCTCGTGCGTTTCTCAGGTTCTAAATATAATCAGCTATTTATTGGTCAGCGTGATGGAAAATCGAAGAAAATGAATGAGAAAAGAATGGGGAAAGGAGAAGAGGAAAAAGAAAACATCTTAAAAAATATCAGGATTACAGTAATATATAACCGTAATTAGCTATAGCAAAGTCAATTTTAAAAGACGACTCGTTTAATTCGCGAATCACAATGTCGTCTGAACGAAACAGTATTATACTTTGTGATCTCTCTTTCATTAATAATTATTAATTAGATTATTTCATCATTTCGTTGTAATAGAATTTTTTTTAGATAACACGCCACGCATATTGTTATTTTTTAATTAATTTTTTATTTTGTTATTTATTTATTTCTCTCTCATTTACGGCTAAACGAAACAACATAATTTCATTTCTATGTTAAACTTAGAGTTAGATTTATAATTTAAATTCAAGACTTATGAAACTTTTTCACCGAACAATATTACTTTTTAATCGAACAAATATTTTCTTATAGAATCTATACCGTGTTCTCATTTACTATGATAAACTCACTGACATGCTACACGTTTAGTGTTGTTAAACTCTGATTTAGAATTACGATCATATTGAAATGTTTTAGTTGTGTTTAAATTTCAGTGATCAATCACAGTTTCGGAGGAATAGAATTTTTTTATACCCCTTACAACAATATGTGTGCATCCATTCATATTATTTATTTATTCGTATATCTGTATAATATTTATACTAGTCTCGTAAGTTATTTGCGTTTAGATTTTCTTCGCGTTAATGATCTCATGTCAAAGAACTTTTGTATTCTTTTTAAAGCTCTTTTTTTACGTCCATTTTTAATCTGTATTTCCGAGAAAAATAAACTTGACAAATGATGTAATTTATGCGCTTGCTATGAGGTAAAATATTTCGTGAGAGAATGATCTATATATCTAAAAAAAAAAAAAAAGAAAAAAAAACAAATACATATATTTAAAGAAAATAAAAATAATTATAAATAAACGGCACCCCCTCGAAGAGAGAGAAATGAAATTAAAACGAAGAAGAAGAAGAATATTATATATAAGAAAAGATATTTATTCTATATTAGATTATATATATATAGGAAGAAATATATTTAACATTTTAGCTAAACAAATAGAACAATTACAACAAAAGAAATCAAATCAAGCTCAATGGTGTACCTAATCATAATTAATTAGAATTAGCGATAGTTCTGTACCTTAAATTTCGGTGATACATCGAATGCTAGCCAATTATTCTTCTTCGATCCTTTATTGCTGCAATTAGTTTTCACAGGGGATACCAATTATTAAATAAATAAAAAACAAAGATAATAAAAAATATATTCGCGTCGCATAATTAATACTCACTGTTAAACATTTACCATTCGTGTATTCTATATTTTTTACTTTTATTATTTTATTTTGCAATGTTCTTTCTGTTCCTTTTATCGTGCAATTTTTTTTATTCTAAAATATTCGATCTAGGAGACAAAAAGTTTCTATCTATCTATCTCTATCTTTCTCTCTCTTGCGAGTCAAGAATTCTTTCATTACAAGGCCAAAGTTAATAAAAAAAAAATTAAATAAATAAATTTTGAAATTTGCGCGTCGTCAAACGCTTATGGCAATGCCTGTATAGATCGATGTTTAAAAATTAAGACTTACCTGTGCGATGTTACATTTCTTTTCTTTCACATTTGTATATTACATTGTACATTACAAACAAAAAGTCACTATGAGAAGAAATTAGATTAAAGGTATAATATATACAGGTGTTACACTATTCCAAATTCACACGTTTGCAAATCAATTCTTGCTATTCTTAACAATAAATCGACATTTGATCTGATTTCTTTTTGCCATAAGCTTATGAAAAAAAAAAAAAAACAATCTATAGAATAATTGTGTGGATTTGTCAAAGGTTGAATTTGATTCACAAAGGGTGTGGACTTGATTTTACAAAAGGGAAGAACTTGATTTTGTAAAAGGGTGAGAATTTGATTTGCAAGCAAGCTGAATTAGAAGTGTAAAACTTGTACTTAGAAATATTATACGTGCTATATTTTTCGTTTCAACTAATTTTAGCAAAATTTATTTAACAAATATAATTAAAATGTATATTTATTTTTTTATTCGAAATGATAATTTAAAAAGATAATCGCTATATTATTTAATTCTGTCATCAAATAATTCGTCGTCTATCGATACGTTCCTAAAATATATATATATGATATATATATA